TGGAGATACACATAGCAACAACAACAACAACAACAACAACAACACACACACACACACACACACACACACACACTTGAATGAATGACACCTAGGCACTTAGTGAAAGTTCCCACTTAAGACTGAAAGAGACCAAACATGCCAGCTGCAGCAGTGGGGCTCATGGGTATATCATCACTGCAGGGACATTTTCTTGCAGAAGATTCTTGAGAAAGCCTCAGTTTTTTTCAAATGTGCTCTGGTCTGTGAAGAGCATAACTTGTCCCTAGAGAATGAGAACTCTTATCGAGGTATTCAGTATAGAACCGTCTATAGAATGTACAACAGTCTGCAACACGGAACCAGAGATAGTCAGGAAATCGTTTGATCTAGTTGGCACCCTGTGTTGGCCGACCCTCTGATTACCTAACACTTACCAGGTAGGTAGTGCTGGCATAGTAATGGCAAGAATAAAGACACACCGGTTTGTATGACCTATACCAGCGACGCCAGCCTACACCAGCTGTTCTATAATCCAGGATCTAGCAGCGGATGCTTGTAACATCTCCACTGGTTTTGAATGACAATACTAATATTAAAGTCGGGCATGGAAGCTTGTTTTTTTAATCCTGTGATCAGGAGGCTAAGGCAGGGCGAGGAGGAGTTAGAGGCTAGCCTGGGCCACACAGTGAGACATTGTCTCAAAAGCACCAGGATGTAAAGTATCATTTCTTCTCCTTAGGGAACACAGAGCTGCCTAAGTTACAGAAAAAGAGGGAGGTGACACATAGCCTTTCATCTTGGACATCCAACTACATGGGTGTGGAAATAATTCTCTTATCAAGCAGATGGTATCTTCTAGCAACAGCTAGGAAGCCACTTTTGTAATCTGTCCTTCAGCTGAGAAAACAACACACTCCTTACATCATATCAGAAAAGGAATGACTCCAAGATTTCCAGGCAATGCAGCTATTTTTCAAATTCAAACTCCCCTGTTAACCATTACAAATGATTTCAAATGTGCCATTCTTGGCCTTCATTTGCACCAAACCCTGGAGAAGCATGCAGCAGAGTTGCAATTCCAGCAAATCACTGTCCTGCACGAGGCACTTCAATAGCCAGTTCTTCCTTCCTCATACCAAGTCATCATTCATAGGAGCTACAGGTCGCTCCCAAACAAGCCGTGCTTATGCTACACAGAAGTAGTGCAAACTCTAGGCTATGCTGCTATCTCCTGCAAGCTAACAAACCACCTCAGCTCTGCTGTGCCTGCATTTGCTCTTCTGCTTAGTGGTTTGAATAAAAAGATTTCCTTCATAGTCTATCAGTATACGGTCTGGGGAAGTTTGGGAGGTGAGGTGTGGCCTTGTTGGAGGAAGTATGTCACTGGAGGCAGACTTTGCGAGCAAGGCCTTGACCTATTCCCAGCGCTCTCTTTATCTCTCTCTCTCTCTCTCTCTCTCTCTCTCTCTCTCTCCCTCTCTCCCTCTCTCTCTCTCTCTCTCTCTCTCTCTCTCTCTCTCTGTCTGTCTCAGCTTCCTGCTTGTGGGTTAAGATGTGAGGTCTCAGCTTGCTGCTCCAGCCTCCAGGCCTGCTGCTTGCCCTCCTTGTGGACTTTTATCCCTCTGGAATCAGTCTGAATAAACCCTTCCTGCTGTAAGTTGCCCTGGTTGTGGTGCTCTAGCACAGCTACAGAGAAGCAGCCAATGAACCTGTCTTCCTAACCAAGACGTGGCAGAGAGTGACAGTGACACACGATTCCTTCATGTTGGAGCGACACACCTGATGTGGGAGTCCCCTCTATATGCTGTGAATACCATTGGTTAATAAAGACACTCTCTTGGACCTGTGTAGGGAATAGAGGTAGGTGGGGAAAACTAAACTGAATGCTGGGAGGGAGAAGGCAGAGTCAGGGAGAAGCCATGTAGCCCCGGCAGAGATACACGTGCTGAAACTTTACCCGGTAAGCCACAGCCACGGGGTGATGCACAGATTACTAGAAATGAGTTAAATTAAGATGTAAGAATTAGTCAATAAGAAGTTACAGCTAATGGGCCAAGTAGTGATTTAAGTAATACAGTTTCTGTGTGATTATTTCGGGGCTGAGCAGCTGGGAACCAACAAGTGCCTCCTTAAAACAGACACCCTCCTCGAGGCCGAGTCCTTTTCTTGTTTGTAGTCACAGAATGTACTTTAAAAGGAGATGGGGGCAGTGAGAGGTCTAGCAGATTAAGGGCTTTGCAGTCAAGACTCATAACCCCTAGGAGCCACATTGTAGGAGAGAACAGACTCCTGAAGGTTGGCTCTGACCTCCACAAAGTAAGTAAATAAAAAAATGCAATAAAATATTAAAAAGTAAACAAATAAAAGGGAAGATAAGAAATGGCTTGAAATATGGAGTTGTTTTAGAAATCATTGTCTTACCCAGTCACTGGTGACAGAAGATGCTGATGAAGAAGACAGCTGGATTTCATTTTACTAAACACCTAGAGTTAAGAAGTTAAGGCAGAGGAGAAAGAAAACACAAATGCAGTATGTTTCTCTTTTAAACCAGATTTAAGATTTTTTTTTAATTCAAATTGACCCAAAGCAAAACGTACATTACAAAGAAAGAACAGAATATATTATGATACAACGCACTGGGAGTTACATGAAAGCTAAATTTGTGGGCAAACGGCCTTGTCCCAATCCCATCCTGGGCTAACGAGTGATTCAGTGGGGAAGTTAGAGATGCTTTCGTATGGTCCACTCTGGTCATTAAGCTACACTTTCTTGTGTCTTACAAGGGTGTGAGTCTAGACTCCCTCATGCTCCAAAAGTGACTCCCGCCACTGCCACAATGCTGCCTTCTCCAGCGAAACGTTGTTCCAAGCCTGACTGATAATGAATTAAAAAAAACCAAACAATCAAGTCATCCAAACTAATGAGCATGGGTTATTCTGTAGTAAATAGTTTAGAAATATGGGCATTAAATAATCTAAAAAAAAAAACCACTCTTACTCTGCTGTACATTTATAAACACAAATATTTACAAAGAAACACCCTTGTTTGCAAAAGATGAGGTTTGCAGTTCATTAATGATCATAATCTTTTATGAGCTGGTTTCTTTGGTGTATTTGCCAAATGCATTTTATAAAGTTTTCGGAATAGGCTTAAATAATACATCTCAAAAGAAACACAAAAGAATCAGTGGCAAATTTTGAGTCAAGATTCTGGAATAGCCAATATGCCAAGCTTCTGAAAACGCTTGTTTTTCTCTCCTCATGGCCAGAGACCGTTTCTCGGATAATCAAACTCAAGTGCGGACCTGCACGTCATCAGGGCCACATTAGCAACTATACAGCCTTTTAGTCACCGTAAGACACAGTGCATGTCTGGGGTTCTATTAATAAACAAAGAACATTCTTTTAAGCTTCCAGATAAATCAAATCTCAAACAATAAATAATGGAATTATACACTTCTTCATTAAATAGAATTCTCAATTTCAGGAAGAGCGCTCATAATTTTTTTTTTTTTTCTGAAGTCACAGCAGCACACAGAACAAAGAATTTGCCTTAATATGATCTTTTTACTTTGGATTCCCTGACTCAATCTCATGGCTTGGTTCAGAATCCTCTGAATGGCTGGGGAATGAGTGTCATTAACTTGCTGAATAAATTAACACACATACACACACACACACACACACACACTCACTCACTCACTCACTCACACATGCACGAATTCTGTGCAAACGAGGAAACTAACATGGCAGCTCAGAGCGCAGACTCCAGACGCCCTCCCTCCACTTCCCTTCCTTGCTGGGCTTGGGGTTCTAACAGAAGTTACACTCAGATAACTGGTCACTTTGTGTTCCTCAGGCTGTTCACGAGTCTCCAGCCTTGATCTGGGTGCTGAATAAAGAATGAGAACACAGCTGCACAGCCATCTTTGCAGGGGGGATCTCCAAGGAGATGACCTTCCAGACAAGGTCACAGCAAACAGCCACGCCTGTCCACTGGGTTCCCAGCTCTACTTAGGGGTCAGCTCTAACTCTGGTTGTGTGCTCCCTAGCTTGCTGAAGGAGTCTATGGGTCACACTAGCAAGTCCCTGAATCATCTTTCTTGCCCAAGCTGCCTGTTGAGGAGTCTGTGTGCCGTCTAGGTGCACGCAGATTCCATGTTCTGACGGCACAGCTACTTTGCAGCCAAAACGACAAACTCTGGGCTGAAGAAGACAGCACAGCTGGCCTGAACTCAGTGAAGTTGAGTTTCACATTTTGGGGTAAAAGAGTTTTATGCTTGGTGCCCCCAAACTGGCAGTTCTGACAAGAAAGGAGAAGCCCTTACCTTGCAAACTTCTGATAGCAAATTTATCAACAGTTATAAATATTTTAAAAATTTGTCACGGCACTAAGAATGACATCGGGGCACTTGGAAAGGATCTCTTCACACTAACATAATGACGAATGAAGCAGTGAGCACGTGTCGGGGGCACATCCCTGACGCCTACTGCCTACGGGACCTTCTCCCTTGCTATTGGTACTTCACCACATCCGGGTTTATCTTGCACAACCAACTCAGAAAATAACACATTTGTCTTGAAGAGCTTTACTGTATCTACCTTCAAAACAGGAAATATTTAATTAGCATACCAGCAATTTGCCAGGCTCACAAAAGAGTGCCCATTAGAGACTTTTACCCTTAAAATATAAATGTATACATATTACCAGGAAGGGGGAAAAAAAAACCACCATGAAACTACCCCAAATTATTTAATCACTAAAATCAAATGGTTTAGCAAGAATGTGGGCTATTTCTAGGGAACATTGTATCATCAGGATATGAAATTTGTTCCTTAAAATGAAATGAAAACCAAAACTTAAAATGGAGGTTGAGGTGACACACTGTGGGTCTGCAGTGGGACTGGAAGGGGTGGACCTGCGTGGAGGGCTGCGAGGAGGCCGGCGCGGAACGGGACGGGTGAGAGATCAAGAAACTACACAGAGAGAGTTGCACAATAGGCACTGTTTTTTTTTTTAAAAAAAAAAAAAAACAGAAGACACTGGCTTTAAAAAGTTAATTCTGTTCCCCGTTAATCTTGTTTTAAAAGTACAGTTCAACAAGAGAGAAAGGAATTGAAACACAATGTCTCAGAGTAGTGTCCTACAGTTGTTTAAAAAGAATAATTTAAAAATAAGCGCACACCAAAAGGAAGCAGAGGTACTGGTTTTTTTTTTCTTTTCATTGGAAAGCTACATTAATTAGAAGAGAAAAAAGAATTTTTAAACAGCTCATCTGTACTCATTAAAAATGAATGAGGTGACAGCATTACTGTAAGTTTCTTCGTAGGGAATTTTCCAGCATCACCCAGGATCTGCTGGGTGAACCCAAGACCTCCAAACTTAACAAGTGTTCCACTGGTTTCTTAGTACCTTGTTCACCAATGAAACCGGAGCACTAAAGGGGAAAACCTTCCACTTTAAACCTGCCTGTGTTGGTGCATTTAGGAAAAACAATTTTTCTAAATGCATTATTGTATAGAAAGGCTTGGACCTCATAGACTTGGACCAAAAAAACCAAATTAAGACCTTCAAGCGTGTGGTGTGTGTGTGTGTTTATATATATATAAAAAAATCCCTCCCCTAAAATGAAACCAAACAAACAAAAACCCTAAAAGTGTATACCTGCCTTCTGACTTCACAGCAAATCAGAAATTGCATAGGATATACTTTGTGCAAGGCCCAAAGCCTCTTAAGTATCTGGAATAACTCTTAATCTTGTTCACAGTCCAGGTATATCAGATATCATCAAATTTGTGTTTTAAGTAGTCTTTCATGACCTTGGCAATTGGTAGTTCATCAAGCAGCTTCAGGTTTTGAAGGCCTATACACTGTCGAATTTTAATTCGGCACAGGTCCTGCAGGGTTCTGGGTTGTCCTAAAATGACAGAGAAAAGAAAATGTTAGAAAGCTACAAAGCACAGCATTGAGGAGGGAGAGCCTCTGGCGTGGGCAAAGTGACTGTTTTCCAAGGAAGTGCCTGCTGCGGACCTTACAGACCAAGGGCTGAAACACTGGACTGATTGAAACCCAAGTGTCCTTAGTACCTTTGTGCAGTGCCTCACCTACTTGGTAGCGTTACGGTCTGAGTTTGTAATCACCCTGCCAGGCACACGATTAGAATGCTTCGTGCCTAGATCACGACACTGTTTTGGCGAGCGTTGTGGAAGCCCTAGGAGGTAGGATCTAGCTAGAGGATACAAGTTACCCAGAGCGGGGCATTGGGAGTTTATTATCCCTGGATCGTGTCCTGTCTTGTTTCCTCTTCTCTATCTACCGTGACAGGAACAGCTTCCATTGCCATGACTTTCTGTCCACACACATGGGGACAGTCAACTGTGGGTGTAACCCTCTGAAACGGAGGTCCAAAAGAATCTCTCCTCTCCTAAGCAGCCTATGTCTGGTAACTGGTCACTATGAACTGACAAGCAACTAACCAGATGCCTCCATCTCTGCTTTACAAACAAGGTCCTCAGGATGAGAGATTTAAGTATACTGGCCACTATCTGACAACCAATTGTAGCTTAGAATAATTCTGAGGACAGTCTTTCTGATTCCAAGCCTGGTATTCTTTCTACTATAAATCAAGGAATTGTGGATCCATCCTGATGAGACTAATATGAAGGTGAGCATCTGTGAGGAAATAGTTTCTTTGGGCCTCAGTTTCTCCACAAGAAAAGCAGGGACTGAAACGGATGTTCGCGAAGGTGGACTGTTTGGACCCTGAGGCTGAGATGCCGGAGCCTTGACATAGCACCATCTCTATGATGCGTTGCCACGATGTCTGTTTCCTTATTCACTGTCACCATGGCAGAGCAGACCCTGGATAGGGGATGAGGGTCGGGTGGTCCGGCAGCAGGGGAGTTTGAAAGGTAACTCAAGTTAGCCTGCATCTCTAGCTCACTTCAGAATCCACACCCTGATCATCGATCAGCACCCACTGTTGTCAGCGAATCCAAACGAAAGCGGTGAAATCCAATTCTGTTTCTCTCAACAACTTTGTTTTTACACCTTAACAGTATTGATCATTACTGACCCAAGGAAAACTTCTTCAACAATGCTTCAGCAGGTGCCTGGAGCCACACAGAACTAACAGTGTGGAGAGGCTACCCCGTGTCAAATGCCTGCTGCTCCATGTCCAAGAGCAGCTTATGATGAGTATGGAGCCGTTTATTCCTTTTACAAGCGAGGTGTCACTCCACTTTACTGCAGTCTCAGAGAGATTAAGTACCAAGCTTCCAAAGTCAAGAAGATAGTGCATTTCAGTGGCTATAAAACATTGAGTCTCAAATTCCATTATGTTTTTAAAGATGACTGAGGATATAAAAGAACTCTGATGTGAGCAGTATCTATGGCACAAACCACATCAGAAGTTACAACAGAAATTTTATAAATGCCTGTTAATTCATTTAAAAAGTAATTAAAACAAACTAATTACACATTAAAATGAACAATATATGATGAAAACTATATTTTCCAAAACGAACCAGCAACGGTGAAAGGGAACTAGTACCACCCCCCCCAACCCCACCCCTCACCCCGCGCACACACACAGTTTGCCCTGCTCTACAGTGCACGGCTTTACAGCAGATGGCTGAACTTCCTTG